GTATTTATATAAAAGCCTTGAGATTCGACAAAGAAGGAGAATTCACTTCGAATGAATTCAAAGATGTTTATGCATAAAATTGAATTTGTCAGCATATGATAGTTTCATGGACTCCACAGCAAAATGATGTCTTTGAGAGGAAAAATATAACTATACTAAACGTGGCTCGGGAGCATGTTGAAGAGTAAGAAGATGGCAGAAGAATTTTGGGCACAAGCTGTTGAATGTGCTGTTTATTTGTCCAATCGTTCTCTCACTAGAAGTGTATGGAACAAAACTCCGCAAGAAGCATGGACGAAAAGAAAATCATCTATTGCTGACTTTAAAGTATTTGAAAGCAATACTTAACCCATGTACCAGATCAGAAGCACAGTAAGCTCGATGATAAAAGTGATAAGCATATTTTTGTTAGCTATGATGCAAGCTCGAAATGCTACAAGCTTTATAATCATGCTACATAGAAGATGGTGGTCAGTAGAGATGTCGTGTTTGATAAAGAAGCTGCATGGAATTGGAGTGATGAACCAAAAGACTACAAGTATCTATTTTTTCCGAAAGATAGTGACGAAACTAGTGATATTGCTTCTCCATCAACACCACCTCCATCACCGGTCACACCAGTGCATACCACACCTTCATCATCTACATCAAGTTCGGTGAAGGACCTCATAGCATGAGAAGTTTACGAAACATATATGATGAAACTGAAGAGTTGAGTGAGAGTTTTAATGATCTAACTCTTTTTTGTCTATTTAGTGATAGTGAACCTTTAAATTTTGAAGAAGCTTTACAAAATGAAAAATGAAAGACTACAATGGATGACAAGATAAAGGCAAGAAAGAAGACTGGCACATGAGAGCTTTCTACTTTTCCAAGTTGAAAGAAAACATTAGGTGTCAAATGGGTGTTCATGTTGGGTTTTATGCCCTAAACTCGTGGTTTGTAAACATAAAACAAATATTCATTCAATAAAGTTGTTATTCATAGAATTGCATTAACCCAAATCCAATAAACTAATATCCGAGGTTAGGTCATGTAACTGGAACAGTATATAATAGATATACAGTATATATTTAATATACATCGTATATATTTGATATACAGTGTATATATGTACAATATGTATTTGATATACAAGTGAATAATGTTCCAGGAGTAACCTAAAGGGTCTATAGTATATGGATAAGGTTGGTTACTATGGATACGGCCTACTTTGTAATAGTTACAAATGACTTGATCCAGGTTATTCATGTGAAGACATGCGAGTGGGGGTATCCTATACAATGAGTTTGTATAAAATCAGACCACGAAATAATTAATCTTTAGTTATAACACCGTTAGCTAATAGATTAATATTTCAATAGAATGACTAGGTAACTCGATCTCAATCCTGAGTGAGTTATGGACTCCTGCCTGTTAGGGCTCGTCCTTTGATTTGTATGAGTGAGAGTGGCTCGAGTCGCCGACTCAATATGCCTACCATTTTGGGGATGAGACCGAGTGGGGAGCTGGAAACATAACTACACAATATGGAATTCACTTTTTCCCTACTTTAGGTTAAGTAGATGAGTGTTCTTTTAGTGCTGACTTCGAGAGTTGAACAAATGGCCCCACCTTCTCACTGGCCCAAGAGGGACTTCCAGTTATTGGTTGGACCATGACAGGGTTGTTCAATAGAGGATCAACGGTAGTTAAGGTACAAGATGTAACACAGGGGTAAAATGGTAATTTGACCCAACTGTGGTTACGAACACTCGTGAAGGATTGACTTACCGTTAATGGTCAAATCCATGGACGCAAAATATTCTACAGTGAGAAGAGTGCAACTGTGGGTCTTTAGTGGAGTGACCGACAGTTAACGAATGTTGATTAATATGGTTAATGAGTTTAATCAATTAATCTCCCATCGTTGGAGCTTCCGATCTGTAGGTCCATTAGGTCCCTTGCTAACTCGTAAAGGATAGTTAAGAACATTTAATCTTGAAAAGAATTTGAATTGTTCAAATTTGTTAACTGAATTAAAGTTAATTGTATGAGATGCAATTAACATAATATAAATTGTTACATTATAATATAAGGTTAATTTTTGAATTGGATTCAAAATTATGAGAGAGATTTATATTGGAATTTGATTCTAATATGGTTAATTAATTTAAGGTTAATTTGATTGAATATGATTTAATTAATGAGATACGTTGATTAATTTAATTAAATTAATGACATGTTAATTTGGTTAAGTTAAATTTGATTTAATTTAATTTAATTAATAATTTTTTTTTGTAATTAATTAATTATTAATTTAATTAAAATAGTTTTAATTAAGTTAAAATAAAAAGAAAAAAAAAAAGTGAAAATGAAAATGGGAGGAAAAACCTCTCACTTTCCATCATTCCACCATTATGGTGGAAAGTGGGGAGGTTTTCCCACTTACCACCATTAATGGTGGGAAGTGTGACTTCCCCACCACTCTTCCTCCATTATAAAAGGAAGGGCTCTCCCCTCCCATTTTGGTTCCCAGGTTCTCAAGAAAATCTCTCTTGCTCTCTCAATTTCCCTTCCAATTACAAGATGATTCCCACAAATCGAGTTCTTAACGTCCAGAGGATAGCGAGGAAGACTTTGTGGTGGTGTTGATATCTACATTGAAGAGGTGTCTTCAAAGGTATGTATAACTAACTTCTTGTTATTCATGCTTATGTGTCTTTTCTTTGTTGCAATTCTAAAGCAAAATCGAAGCACACAAGTTCGCGCGCTTCTGTTGCGGGTCAATCCCTTCAATTTAAGACAGAGAAATGAAAGAGAAGTGGAAAGACATAAAGCGAGATTAGTTGCGAAATTAGGCTACTCTTAGAGAAAAGGGGTTGATTACAATGAAGCATTTGCTCCCGTTGCTTGCTTGGAGACCATAAGATTGATGATTACACTTGCTACTCAAAATAGATAGAAGATTTTTCATATGGATGTCAAATCGACATTTCTGAATAGATATCTTGAACAAGAAGTATATTTAGAAAAACTTCTTGGTTATGTGGTGAAAGGATAAGAGGATAAAGTTCTAAAGTTGAATAAGGGACTGTATTTGTCGAAACAGACTTCAAGGATGTGGAATAGCAAAATTGACAAATATTTCTATGACAATGGGTATTTAAGATTCCCACATGAACATTCTCTTTACATGAAGACTAATGATCATGGAGATATTTTGTTGGTTTGTCTATATGTGGATGACTTGATTTTTACAGGAAATTGTCCAAGCATGTTTGACGAATTAAATAGGCAATGATCCAAGAATTTGAGATGACAGACATGGGCTTTATGTCATATTTATCTTGGCATTGAGGTGAAGCAAACAAATGCATAAATTTTTATATCTCAAGAATGATAAACTAGAGAAATTCTTCAGAAATTCAAGATGTTTAGTTCTAAACCAGTTGCAACTCGAATCGAAACTGGAATGAAATTGTAAAAATATGGTGATGGAGATATTATTGATCCTTCATATTTCAAAAGCAATTGGGAGCTTGAGATATCTAACGTGCACAAGACCAGATATTCTTTTCAGCGTTCGATTGATGAGTCGATTTATTGAATCTCCTACAACTACTCATTTGAAAAGTAGCAAAGAGAATTCTTCATTATTTCGAAGGTACGCTAGATTATGGATTGTGTATTCTTCATATGGAGAATTCAAACTTGAAGGTTATTGTGATAGTGATTGGGCTGGAGATCTTAATGATCGAAAAAGCACAAGTGGATTTGTGTTATTTATTGGCAATATTGCTTTTACCTGGAGTTCTAAAAAGCGGCTATTGCGACACTATCTAATTGTGAGGTCGAATATGTGGCTGCATATCATGATGTGTGTGTCATGCAGTTTGGTTAAGGAATTTATTCAAGACAATTGGAATTGTGCAAGAAGATGCAACTATATAATCTATCTCGACAACTGTTGGAATCGGATGATAACCCTAGATGGAGAATGAATAGGGTTTTAAGTAAACTTTATAAGTTTTTAATACGGTGGGCCCAATTTAAACAAATAAGGAAACTTTTTATGAATAAATAATATTAACACAAATTATTCAATAAATTATACATACATTTCATGCATTCTAATTAGTTCTAATGTAAAGATTCACAATAAACATGAAGAACAAAATACAACAATTAATTCATGCAACAAATAAAAATATAAAATTAATTTCATAGTTAAATAAGAGAGGGTTAGAGAAAATGACACCAAAAATTTAGAGTGGTTCGACAACACCGGCCTACTCTACTTCCCAAGCTCCTCTTGGGTGTTCAATTGAAGAACTCGACTTTTTCCACGGGTTAGAGTCCAATCGGTATAATGTTATTTTTCTGGGAACAAGAATAAACCCGATCATTTCCACGGTTTAGGATCAAACCATTACAACACTCTTTTTCGGGCTTAAGAGCAACCCTCAATAATTGGAATTTTGAATGCACAAGCTTACAAACTCTCTCAATTAATAGATATACAAATTTGTAAGAAAAAATCTTATAAATAAAATCCCTCAAATGGTTAAAAAGAAAATAAAATTGGAAGCTTAAAGATCTCTCAAAATGAAATCTCTCAAACGAATTAAAACGTGAATAGAAGCTTTTAGAGATGAATAATGGATGAATTGGTAGAGAAAATGATCTCTTGTTATATTTCAAGCAAGTGTGTGGAGAAGAAAAACAAGAGAGTTTGTGAGAGTTTGTAAACCAAGTATATTTTATGAGAAATTTCAATATAAGTGAAATTTTTTATTCTCAACAAACAAGTCTTGTTGATTCTAAATTTGTGATTGTCCATCACATGCTTCCAACGACCGACGGAAAGAAAGACGAGAAATAATTGATTGTTTGAAGTTACTTAGATATGTATGTCTCATATTGAATCATTCCCCACAAGGGAGGCCCACCATAATTTAGACTCGAGTGGACTAACATCAAACTTGAATTCCAATTACTCACTCCTCTCTTGGCCATATGCGTTTGTAGACATTATACACGAGGGAATCAGCTGCCAATTTTATCTCCTATAGGCTTCAGAGTTGAAAGGGAGAAATAGAAGCAATAATGCAGCCTTATTCTGAGTCGTGGTTTGCTATGGCTATGCCCGTAACCATAACCATAACCATAACCCTTCTGGCTACGTTGTTCCTTTCCGTATCCGTGTCTGTGTCCGTGTCTGTTCCTTTGAATGACAAAATTGAGAAGTTGCCTGACCAACCAGCTGAGGCGGATTTCCAACAATTCGGCGGATACATCACAATTGATGAGAAGCAAGGAAGAGCTTTGTTCTATTACTTTGTTGAAGCACGAGCTCCGGCCGCTTCTTCCAAGCCTCTCGTCTTGTGGCTCAATGGAGGTAATATTTTCCTCAGTATTTAAGTAATATTTTAATTCCAACAAAAAAATTTCAATTAATCTTTAAATTTTTAAGATATAGAGGGATAAAATAGAGAGAGAGAGAGAGAGAGAGAGAAAAAAGGCTTTACAATCTTATTGATTTTTTGAATTTAATGGGTGCAACAGAGGGAAATAAATAATAATTGGGATTGTGTGTTTGTATTTGTAGGTCCTGGGTGTTCGTCGCTTGGAGCAGGAGCTTTCGTAGAGCATGGTCCCTTTAAAGTTAATGGACAAACTCTTGTCAACAATCACTACAGTTGGAACACAGGTCAGATATAAATTTTAAACTTTTTTTTTTCCTTCAAAAAGAAAAAATTATGAATTTCGTTCCTATATTTTAATATTGATATTATTTTATTTAATATAGTCATAATGAAATCATCATCTTTTCTATTTGTCTTTGTGTTGGTTGATATAGGATTTAGAGTAGATAGAAAAAGAAAAACAGAAAATGCGTATATTTTGGATTGAGTGAAATATGTTTTAAGAATGATTTCTGTAATTTAACCAAACCATAGGGATGAAATTGAAAATTTTAAACTATATGATTTTTATTTTTATTTTTTGAAATACAAACTATGTGAATTAAATCTTTTTTAAAATAATGAAACCAAGCAGTTAAAAAATATATATATAGTTTTTGATTGTTGATTGTTGATTGTTTTATTTTTATTTTTATTTTTCCTTGTTTGTTGGTTCAGAAGCAAACATATTATATTTGGAGTCACCAGCAGGAGTTGGTTTCTCGTATTCTGCCAACACATCTTTCTACTCCAAAATCGACGATGCTATAACAGGTTTGTTGTTGCCCCTAGCTATTTTCTCAAGTTTCTTTAACCTTGTTCTGTTTTGCAAAAATCCAAAGAGAAATTACATTTAATTATGTTAAATAACTGATAACTGGCTCTGATTATTATTATTATTTTTTTGGTTAAGCACGAGACAATCTCTTATTTCTCCAGAATTGGTTCGAAAAATTTCCAGAATACAGGAACAAAGATTTTTACGTTACTGGAGAGAGTTACGGAGGTATCTATATCCACTCTGCAAATAAATTCTATTATTTCGAATACCTCCTACATGCCTTTTCTATTGTTATTGTCTAGTAGTTTTTTCTTCCTCCTTTTTAAAGTAGGTTGGGTGTTAAGCGCTGTTATATCCTCACCATCGAGAAGTCCTAATAAAAGTCGTCTAGCTAACACAGTATATTTAGGTACAGGAATGAAAACACTCACAAAATAATAATAGAGAACAAATTACTCCGAAAATATAATCTGCCCTGTGTACTGCCAACTCTAGCCGCTGTCACAAAGATGCTGCCAATACCCTCTTGAAATCGACTGCAAACATATACCCATGGCTGCTACTTTAATTCGGCTCAAAACCAAAATGAAAGAAAAATGCCCCTTTTATAAAACGTCCTAGCGTCTTCAACGTCCAAATAAGCGTCCCGCATTTTTCGTTGCATTGCCGCGGTGTTGTGCCTGCGTTTATTTATTTTCATTCCTTTGATGTCCCGACGCGTCTTGACTCGTCCAGACTCGCTCCTAGCTCATTCCAATGTCGATTTGGTTCCACCAATCCCAACAGATTGAACCTATGACTTCAAGGATGACCCGTTAAGGATTAGAGGATTAAGTAGGTGTTATGCATTTGATTACCTCAATAATTAAAATTTGTATTGTTGACAAACTGAGCATGTTCAATGATTTGCTCTTTATGATACGGAGATGTATTTGTTGCTGCGAAACCGATTGAGAAGTTCCTGACCGTGAAAGTTTAGCAAAAAGTATTAGTAGGCACTGCAATTTGAGATGTTAGGGAACTTACCTCATCTACTTTTTATGTACACCAGCAACTATCTTTGACGTTAAACATGCACTAGGCAATTGATAACTATTTGGCAATCATATCTTTCCATAAAGTTTAAGAAGTTTTGGACAGTAGAGTGCCGCCAACTTCATCATCTAATATGGTCCCCAACTGCCCATTCCGCCTATTGTAAAACATTTTAATTTGTAGCCAATATAGATACCCATGTTGCGGTCGTTTTCTCAAGTATTATTTGTATCAATCTAATGCCTCACAACGCTCCAAGTCTTGCTACCGAAATGACCCAATTTCCATTCTAAGTTGGGCGTTGTGTTGGTCGTGGAAACAATTTGGTAATTAAGAATGCCTAAATTCTCTCCTTCCAATAAGTAAACTTGTCTAGCTGCAGAGATTGTAGATAAAATATTAGGCATAAGTTAATGGCATCCTAATGGCTCTTTGATTTTCTTGAGCTAATATCTGTGGCTATTGTTGAAAGGGTGGGACTTGCGGAATTTGAGAAACGGGTGGAAGTTGGCACAAAGGTGGAATGAGTGACGTTCCTTGGATTTTTTTTTTCATCATCATCATCATCTTGCGAGTTCTATGGCAATGACAAGTTTTCTTAATTTTAGGATGCTACTTCCCTGTCTTTGGACATGAGTAATCGATAACATCCCTCACGATAAAACACACCACACACCCTCATGAGAAAACACACCACACAAAAATCAGTAAGATAAAAAAATGTAAATTAAAACCAAGTGAGTTTTCAATAATATAAAGTAAAACTAAATAATTGTCAATAATTCCTGACAATAACTCAAATGTTTGCGATTTGTGGTACCAAAAGTGTACGGGTCCTTAGGTTGAATTTCTAGGTCACGCTTCGATACCAGAGTTACAAACACTCAAATTAATTTAGAGAATGAAGTCAAAACGAGTGAATTACGTAATTAAATGGACACAAATGACGAGAAAATATATGAAAAGAAAGTCATAGGAAATTCGTTTAGTCAATGAAGTTATGAGTTAATCAAATAATTACTAGCTCAATATTGAACCATCAGTTTGGTAGGTCAAGAGCCTTTTCAATTGCCCATCTCGAGTGCTAGTCAAATTTCTTTATTAATTAAGAAACCACTATTTTTATCTATAGTTTTTATACCAAGCAAATACTTTAAATGAACTAAGTACTTTAATGATCTCTTATTCTAAATCTCTCGAGGATCTTAAAACTCATTCAGTTATGAAATTCAATTTTGACTCTAAACCGTCTCTCTCAAGCATAAGGTTTTAAGTTTAAGATCAATTAACCTAAGATCAATAGATCAGTGGCTTGAAGAATACATGAACATAAATAGAATATTTAAAATCATTCCATCAAGATAAATAATTAATCAATTCATTTATATAGTTTGAGTTGCTACATCAATCTCTAAGAATTAGCATTTTGATCAGGTTGCATGTAATCTACTCAAACTGGCCATCAACCCTTACAACTTCATTATTACAAATAGATTGTTCACCTGATGGTTCAACAATACTTGAGTTTTCTAATTCCCATCTAAAACAAATTTGAAGACATATTTTATTTAGGGATTAGTGGCAGCTCACACTACCTGAATAACTCTTAAAGGTATGTCAAATTTGTTAAATTTCTCATCTCTACTATAAAACATCGTCTATGACCTGGTTCAAACAGTCATAGTTTATAACCTTCCACTTCCACCTCATATGGATAACCAAAGAAGATACATTTTCTTACACGTAGCTCTAATTCATTTTATTTAACACATGCTTATGCAGCATATTCCAACACCTTCAAATAACTAAGATTTTGAGGTTTTCCTAACTGTCTTCTTGAGAAGTTTTCATATCCAAGCAGGTGAAGGACGCTTAAAAGTGAACCTATATATATATATATATTAACTACACCTCCCTCTGTCTCGTAACTAATTAAAACCTCCTTTATAAAGCTGGCCAGGAGAAATTTCTCTTAAGTTTGGAGCAAACGGATAGTAGACAAAATATTCTTTCCTTCCCTCATAAAGTTTCAATTTGATTCTATATTCTTTACAAAACAATGCTGATTGTTGCCTTGCTACCTTCAAGTTACTCAAAATCTTGAAAATAATTCATGTGAGGTGTCACATGATAATAACATCTGGAATCAAATATCCACTCATCAACAACTGCATTCTCATACATAATTAACACTTCCATTGATTCATACTACTTTCATGCAAATTTGCCAGCAGTTTATCACCATTTTCTCCTCCCTTTTGATCTTATGTTTTAGTTGGGAGCAATTTATAATCAAATGTGCTCCCTTATGGCCATAATAACATTTTATCTTCTCTTTACTTCTATATTTATATCTATGCTTAGCGTTCTTTACTTGTGTTTCTCTCGCAAACCCTTAAAGCTTCAACATTTTTTTTTCTCATATTTGATTTCAATTTTGATCTCAAAACATCTTAAATAATAGTAGCTCGTAGCTAATGTCATTATATTTTATTGCAAGCCATACTTTATTAGAGCTTCTCAAATAATGAATTTAGAAGATATGATAACTTAGTTTTCATCCTCCTACATTAACGACTAAAATACATATCTAGCGTGTGTATCATGTATTTATAAATTCAACATATGTAATTTTAAGATGGTTTGAAGCTAATTTTCCAACATGTTTTACTTCCTATGGTAACAGGCCACTATGTTCCACAATTGGCGCAGCTCATTATTAAGTCTAAAGTGAATATCAAACTGAAGGGGATAGCAGTGAGTTGGAAGAACACAATTCTATATATATTTAAATGCAGTTCTAAAAAATTATATTATGATGGATTGAATTATCATTTTAATTCCTAAGGAGCGCGTTGGTCTCAATTTCGTCCCAATGATTATACCAGTTCCAAATTTTAGTTCTCATAATTTCGTTAAATTTTCTAAACCATCCTCATCCTTATCATATATATTAACCAATGTGGCAAAAGAAAGTCGATAAACTAGTATTTAATATAATGCAGGTGCAAGATAAGAAAAACTCTTAAAATTAACTATATCGGCCAAATTGAAACTTTAAAAACACTGGCTAAAATTATATGGAAAATCAAATCAATCATAGAGACTAATATATGGTAATTGACGTTGGATGCAGATAGGAAATCCTCTTCTAGACTTGGGCAAGGACTTCAACGCGAGGGATGAATATTTGTGGTCACACGGCGTCGTTTCAGACTCGGCTTATAAGCTTCTCACTTCAGTGTGCAACAGTTCACGACTTGTAGTAGAGGCCATCCAAGGCACCCTTTCTTCGGATTGCCAATTCGTTGTCTCCAAGGTTTCCAAAGAGCTTTCTAACTTCATAGACTATTACAATGTCATCGGTGATGTTTGTCCCTTCACCGACAAATCACAGGCCACAATTCTGATTCATCCACTCACCTCATTGTTCTATACCTCGTCATCCACTCGTCACCAAACAACCGCTCAAAGTCACCTGCAGGTGAGTCTAGACCTTGCGCTTTAAATTATTCTTGCATTTAGGTCTTTATTGGTATTTCATTTTAAAATATGGTACATTTTTGTTTTTTTGTTTTTAATTAGCATGTGATTTAACATGGTATTAAAAGTACAAAATTTGAGAGTTATTGAAGAAGAAAAAATGATACAAAGTTTAAGCTCAAATATTGCATTTGTTAGTCCATAAATATCTAGATTTTTTTTTTTTGATATTAGGATTTTATTTGGTATTGGAATATGGATTCAACTTATAAAAATAAATATCAATAAAAAGATTTATAATAATATTTTTAAAATAACAAACTAAATAGACACAGCCCTAAAAGATTAACCAGAAGCTTTTAACCTAAATTTTATTTGTATATTTAATACTTTAACATTATACTTACTCATGGGTTTCAAGATATGAGTAATACCCAAAAAAATAATTATCAATATTAACTATGGAGAAAATATACTGTGTAGGAGTTTGAACAAAAATCATTTTTCTGTCATTGATAACACGTTCAATCACCAATGAACTTAAAAACTTAAGATAATATAGGGTTAGAGTCCCACTAATATAAGTTGATGCTTTATTGGTGTTTTAACCTAATGAATTAGAGTAAATTTAATTATTTATTCATATTAATCTAACTCCTAAGCGTAGTTAAGAAACTTGTTCTCGTGGAGCTTTGGTGGTTTAGGAAAACTATGTGAGAGGATTTTGAGCAACAATATTGTTGAAACCCGCGATTATTTTATCGAACAAATTCTAAAGGCTTGATAAATCCATGGCGAAAACATGAAGACGACATCTTAAGCCAACCCATTCCTAACCAAACCCTCGGCCACAAACACCCTAGATCTGACTAATTACAATTTAACCTCATTTATTATTAATCCAATATGGGACAATTGCCATCTCCTTAACCATCATTGGTGCAAAGGGATTAGGGTTAATTAAGAGGGAATGAATTCAAACTCAATGATGACCACCTAACTTAGAAATTAGTAATTCTTATGTGTTTCTTAGCACCATATATTGTAGGGTCAGGTGGTTATCCCGTGAGATTAAAGCTGATCTGACACTCACGGATATAAAAAAAATTGCCCCCTCCTTCCTCCTCGATAATGTTATTCGTTTCTTATTTGATATTAATAATTAATAGTGTTGATGTGACAGGAAACAAATGGTGGCAATAGTAGAGATGCGTGTTCACAAGAAAATACAGCAAAATATTTAAATAGAAAAGATGTGCAGCATGCCCTCCACGCCCAACTCATTGGAATTACTGAATGGAGCTTGTGCAACAACAATTTGTCAGTAATGCAATCTCTCTTCCCAATATTTGAAGCCAAGAAATCAAACAAAAAAAATTGCTGTCTGCCATATCCCTTTTTGTCGTCCTTAACCATTTTAATTAATTACTTGCAGAGATTGGTATTATGATCAAAAGAACAAGTTTATACCAATGCTTGATGTCGTTGGCTCACTTGTGAAGTCTCAAATCCGAGTCTTGGTTTACAGGTAACACATCCCAAAAATCTAAAGCATGCATGAGTATATTAATTGATGGGAATGATAATGATTTTTTTAATAGCCACCGACCCAATTTATCAATATTCACGACATTCCATCTCAAAACAATTAGCAATGTAGAGGAGTAACTCACTTATATTATAAATGTTTATTAGATCCTATCTTTTAAATGTGAGATCCTTAACATGTCCCTCAAGATTGTAGCTATTTTGGTTCATTGATCTTAGTCGAATCCCAATTTTGGACTTGATGCTCGTTTGAGTTTTTTGGGCTCTAATATATATATCATATCAATATCCATCGGAATCAATCTCAAAACCAATTGGCAATGAAAAAATAGCCTATGTCTATTACAAACAATTATTAGGTCCCTTATTTTTTTAAGATCGTGTCTCTTTCGACTCATCAATCTTGGCTGAATTATTCTATTTGTGAACTGATAACCTTTTATTCATATTCTTAACAATCCTCTTATTTGTGAGCTTGAACAATTACCACGAAATAGCCCAACAAGTGAATATCAATATTAATTTAGGAGGAAATGACGGGATGGAAATTTAAATTTAGGACTTCCAACTCTGAGATATCATGTATTAAACTGCCCCTGAACTAAAAAATATATAAACAAATAGGTTAATTAATATCAATTGAATCTTTCATTTATATTTCTAACAGCGGTGATCAAGATTCAGTCATCCCATTTATGGGGACTCGAACCTTGGTGAGTTCATTAGCGAAGGCTTTGGGTCTAGATACAACTGTATCCTACAGAGCTTGGCTCGTGGATAACCAGGTTTGTTAGTTTCTTAACATAACAAAGGAAAAAGGGTGTTGTGGTAAATTACATTTTTATGATTGTCATTTGACAGGTTGGTGGCTGGACTCAAGTGTATGGTAACTTTCTATCTTTTGCAACCATAAGGGGTGCTTCCCACTTAGCTCCAGAAACTCAACCCAAGAGATCTTTGGTGCTTTTCAAAGCATTTTTAGAAGGAAAACCACTGCAAGGAGTGTGATCCTTTTGTAATATTGATGAATGTAATATCACCCAAAAACAATCATAAAAAATAAAACAAGAAGAAATAGAATAGACATAAAAGAAAAGTATTATCTAGATGAAAGTCTAGTTGTGTTATTGTTTATTCAAAATAATGGGAGAAACTGAATGGATGATTTGTCATAACACCATCACAACGTGGGGTGGCCAATGTAATCCGTCCTTAAAGGGTTTCTTCCGAGAAAAGAGGAACCATCTATGAGGTGTGATTAATCACCTACAAATAAAAAAATAGTATGCAAATACAGATTGGAATATGTTCGAAAATCTTGAAATAATCTTCCAATTTCGGACAGTGGTTCGAGAAAAGAGCTAGCAGCTGACAACACCTATTTGAAAGCGGTCACTAAATTTTGTCTTAAATTATCCCATAATTTTTATTGGTCAATAGAAAAACAATTTTTTTGTTTTATTTTAAATGTCTCAAGTTTATTAATTCATATTTTACGATAAAACATGAATTAATAAATTATGAATGCCACAAAGACCATTAGAAATATTTGTTGCCTCAAGGATATTGTTTCCAATCTCCATCATTGGAGCTTTTAAAAATAACTTGTTTTAAGGAAAAAAAAAAGTTTACTTTAAAACATGGCATATTTCTGCTACTCAAGTGTCTTGTGCATCTTGTCTCTACCCCTAGTTTCTTGAGTAGTAGTAATGCTAGCGTTTATGCAGTTCGACAAGTTTGGATTACTCTAGGGCTTTTAATTTCAAGTAGCAAGCTATTATGTTTTCTCTCTAGTTTAGGTTTTAGTTAGTACCAAAGCCCAGCATCCTTCTATGAATACTAGTCACAAACTACGAACACTTAGCTGATAATTTTCCATACCTCATCTATCCAGATTCAAACCCTACTTTAGTATTACTACGTTGGACCTTACACCCTCTTTAGACACCAGTTCTTATCCCCATCTATACGCTACACATTCGATTAGTGAAGCCTACTGCCCTTCACTTCATATCTTCTTTGCATCTTAAAGTTTGAGGGCGTGCTGGAGCATATATCAGTTTGTCCTTCGTTGTGTTGAGGACAATGCATGCTTTTAAGTTTGGAGGTGTACGCATTCACATTGCTTGGCACCCTTTCTAGCTCAAATTTGTACATCTATTTATCTTTTTAATCCTGTAACTCAGTCCTAAAAAATATTATCAGTACGAGGCTACAGGATTAGGAAGGGCTAGTAGCTCATAGTTGAGAAGCCCAAACATGTAATAAAAGAGTTAGCAATTTTTTTGCAAGGAAAAGAGAGTCTAAGAAATGAGTCTCTAGGTGAATTGAGTTTTTTGAAAAGGAAAGTAGGAAGATGCTGGAGCAAAAGAAAATAGCCTTCCCTAGGTAAGAGCAAAGTCCGAGTTACTCTCTTTTAGTTGGCAGAAGCATATTTAAGGGACTGTGTATTGTGTAGAAAACAGAAAGGAGGGCTTGAGGCAAGACGTTCCATGACTTTATAGAATTTTCATTTTTCAAGGTTTTTAGGTATACTCTTGTTCGAGGGCAAGCAAGGATTCAAGTTTAGAGGTGAGATAACTTTCCAAAAGAGAGTTATTTTATTACTAATTTGGGTTAATTTGTGGTTTAATGTGAGGGTCTTTGTCTGAATAGCATGCTAAATTTAGAGATTGAGTGAAAAAGTTTATTTCCATGTTCTAAATCCTCATTTTCTTGATTTCCACAAAATCTTGCTTATTTCGCTAATTTTGGTTTAATTGTGCAGAATCCAGAAAGGTTGACAAAGTGCAACTGAAATAGAGGAGAAAAACTGGAGTTTTGTTGTGCCACAATATGCCATGCTAGAGCATTTGTTGCAGTTTCAAATCTGGACAGTGCAGTAACTTTTCTATACTCGAATTTGAGCCACATCCGTACAAAGCATGCGCATTGCCCTAAATTAAACACATTATAGAAGCTTCTATTGAGCAAGTCGACAAGATAGATCACAAGGAAGGAATTATTCTCGAAGGTGCTGAAGACAAGGAAATTTGTCCCCATTTCGAAAAGAAGTCAATGGAAGGAAGCTTGAGCCACTGGTTTTTCTCACTCAGCTGGAGATTTCCGAGGACTTTCTAAGGGTTTTTTACCAAATGGGTTTCTTCTCTCTTTTACCCACTATATTTTTTCCCATTACCCATGAACTAAACCCAATTTTTTAGGGATCTCTCGCTGTAATTTAATATTTCCACCTTACTGATCTTGTTGGCCACCATCATCAGTTTGTGTGCTGTTGTATGACTTGGAAGAGTGTATAGAAAGCTTGTTTGGCTCTAGTTGTGGTTAGACGACTTTTTTCTAATGGGATTGTGGATGCTTAGGAGTAAGATTCACCTAACCATGTCTATAAACTGTTTTCGATGCTTGATTATTTAGCGTTGTGAATAATCATTTCAATGTGTCTCGAATGTTAAGGATCTCACATTGAAAAGATAGGGGACCTAATAATGATTTATAATATACATGGGCTACTCCTCTCATTACTAATTGGTTTTGAGATGGAACCCCATGAATATGGATATGGTATCAGAGCTCATTGTCTAACAACGTGAGTATATTGATCATGGCTTCTTCTTCATCTCGAATGTATTTAATGTTAGCTTTAATTTAAAATGCAAACGACGTTGTTTTTCAATTTCCAAATTACGTTATTTTAAAACGATTCGTGCGCGCCTATTTCTCTTGTATTACCATGACGTTTTCTAACCGACATTAATTGGTACATTTTAATGTCGATTCTTAACCGACATCAAGTATGACATTTCCGGAAAATAAGGCACCTCACTGTAAATCCGACATTATTTAGTCAACCGACATTGTTTATAAATGACTAACTTACATTGAAGGTGACAATTGTTGTAGTGGCACAACGCCAATTCCGCATCATCACAAGTCCTAAATTCTGTGAATCGCTCATCCTCGTCTTTCCCTTCTGGTAACTCCGTGTCTATTTCAGATTTGTGGCATTAGAGGTTTGGTCACGCATCTCCTTCAATTGTAAACCAAGTTCAAAACAATGTTCTATGTTCAGCTCAAATAAAAATTTCTCATTTTTGCAATGCATGTGCTATTGGTAAAAGTCATGCTACACTTTATCATAAACTTCTTACACAGCTTCATTACAACTCATTGTCTCTAATTTATGGGGTCCAGCACATAAATCTTCACGTAATGGATTTCGTTATTTCATAAACTTTGTTGATGTTTATTCTTGCTACTCTTGGATTTATTTTCTTCATAATAAGTCAGAAGCATTTCAAGCTTTTCTTAGCTTTAAACTTCATGTTGAGAAACTTTTTGGTACCTCCATTATTTGCTTTCAATTTGATGGTGGAGGTGAATTTAAAACTTTCACTCCTTTTTTAAAAGCACATGGTATTGAACATAGCTTTTCCTGTCCATATTCTTCTCAATAAAACAGAATCATAGAACGAAAACATAGACATATAGTTGATATTAGCCTTACACTTCTATCTCATGCCTGTTTGCCTTTAGAGTTTTGGGATGACGTATTTTCTACTGCTGTTTTCTTAATTAATAGGCTTCCTACACCGGTTTTGGATGGTTTCAATCCCTTGGAGATTCTTTTTAAACAGAAACCAAACTATTCTTCCTTGAAAGTATTTGGTTATCTATGCTTCCCTTGTCTCCGATCCTATAATAATCACAAACTTGACTTTCGTTCTGTTCCATGTGCTTTCTTGGGCTACAGTAATATTCACAAAGGTTTCAAGTGCTTTCTTCAAGTGGTCGCGTTTATATCTCTCGAAATGTTACTTTTGATGAAACTTTTTTCCCTTTTCTACAGCATTATCTCCTCAACCTTCTTCCTTTATTTCCCCCTCTATAACCTCTTCTATTCCTTTACTTGTGTCTCCCACTACCTCTTCCATGTCCGATTCCCCTTCCCCTATGGCGTCTTCATTACCCAATCATAATCCCCCATCTAATGTTTCCTCTCCCAATCACTTCCCCACCCCAAATTCTTCATCCTCCCCCACAGAGGTATCTGATCCTGCTGCTACTTGTATGAATGAACCAAGTCTCACTATCACTGAATCAAGCTCTATTGGTAATTGCCATCTTATGGTAACCACCGACAGTCACTGAGGCTTTGAAACATGACCATTGGAGAAAAGCTATGCATGATGAGTATACAACTTTAATGAATAATAGTACTTGGGATCTTGTGTCTCAACCTCCAGATACGAAAGTAATAGGTTGTAAATGGGTATTCAAAATCAAGAGGAATTCAGATGGGTCATGTTTATGCAAAGAATTGCAGTAAGCTGTTTAACGAATCAAGCTCGAACCCGGTCCTCGGCTTGACCTAAATACCAAGAGTAAACCTGCACAAGAGGGCAAACTCTTCAACGCTCAAGTCAATTCTGGTCGGACTCGATATTAAGTTTGAGGTGAGATTCGATACCTGACTGTGAAATGAAGCACTCTATTTATAGGTGGCGGGTTCGACAGTGCTCACGACCGGCGATTACCTTTGTCTTTTTTATGTCGAACCTGTCGGGTTTGAGCATATCGAACCCGTCCAGGTCGAACCGGGGCTTTTTACATTTAGCCTTATTTATGGGCAAACCCAGTCTCCTCGATGGGTTCGATGTGGACCTGGGATACTTCTTTTATTTCCTGAACACCAATGAGCGTCCTCCACGTGTCCAGGGTATTTTTATCCCCAAACATTGGCCCCCTCACTGTCAGGTTCGATCTCGATCTGGCAGAGAAATTACCTGATTCAATTTAGGACACGTGGCAATCTTTTATTTGTAGAGGAAATATGAACGTTGTGGAAGATGTTTCGATCTGCCAGGCTGTCGAAGCACTCGAGTATTCCGTCGTTACGAATTTCGAGATGATCTTGGCCGCTCGTTCATTACACTTGTACGTTGTAGAGGTTTTTCCGATTAGCTATAAATAGTTCCGAGACTTCAGGTCAAACCTTACGTTCCCTGAATTTTTGGAGTTCGATTTGAAACCAGCTCGAACCCTTCGTAGGTCAGTCACTCTCGTTTTACTTCTTTATTTCAAATATGGTGGTTTTCATGTCCTCCCCCTCCAGTAGTGATAGCTTAAGTAGCGTAGGTCGGACTATAAGTAGTTCGCCTCCTCAGCCAAGTGACTCTGGGGAGGATTTAGCTCGTAGGTTGTCCAACCTAGAAGAGGTAGAGCATTTTAGGTTTTTCGACGATGGGGAAGATAGCGACACTTCCACCTCGAGCCAGGGTTTGGAATACCCTTCAAAAATGCCTG